GTGAACTGAAGTTACCTTCCCAGGACTATCAAGCCCCAATGAGATGGGCAAGTGACAGTGATCAGGTCCCCCCTGAGCCTTCTCCAGACTGAACCCCCCAGGTCCCTCAGCCCTTCCCCATCACACTTGTGCTCCAGGCCCTGCACCAGCTCCAGCACCTCAATGTCTCTCTCATAGTGAGGGGACCAGAGCTGAACACAGGATTCGAGGTGCAGCCTCACCAGTGCCCAGTGCAGGGCTGATCCAGGCCAGGATGCCATTGAAGACCCAGGGTGGCTCTGTCATCTGGAGGCAACCATGGATTCCCCAAAGCCCACGCTGTGTTTTGCCATCTGATGGGCACCCAGCAGCAGCTACAGACCATGTGCATCTCCCACCTTGCTCATCCCTTATGCGGTCCAGGCTGGGCAGTGAAGCAGAGCGAGACACCACGACGTGAGAGACAGAGGGACACCATCCTCCCAGTCACACCAGTAGTGTATTTATTGGAGTAGCTCACATGCAGGAACCAAAGTAGAGATGATTTCTGGAGCAAGTTAAACAATGGCAGATTAATACAGTTGTATCGTCCTTAACGGCAACACTTGCTACGTGAATACAGCGACGTTTTAGTGTTGGGTTTGTCTTTTGTTTCCCTTTACAATCCCTTTAAACAGTTATTTTTCCCCTCCCCTATCCCATTCCCAAACAAAAAAATATCCAGTATCTTCAGTAAATAAATATTATCCACTTTCATCTGGAAAGCCTACAGCTGTAATATACAGAGAAGCTATGACACAGGTTACATCTGGAGGGTTAACAACAGCTCGTGATACCATGGACAGCATGAGGAGCTCGTACTCATAAAAACACAAGAGCAGGGTGGGCAGTTTGCTGTAGGGTTTGCCATGGGCTAAGGAGAACCAGCACCACTGATGGAGCAGCAACCTGCTACCAGTGCCTGGGGCGTGGAGGGATGCGGTGGGATGAGTGGATGGGTACCAGCATCACCTCTGGGTGCTTGGGAAGCGGGGCTCCTGCCTCCTCTGCTGTGCTGCTGGGCTGGGTGCCCTTCCCCAGCAGCTGCAGGGTGAGCTCCAAGGCAGCTCTAACTCCACTCACTGTTTGCCTGCTTCATTATTTCCATAAAAACAACTGTCCCGAGCTGGATTTTTCCAGGGTGGGCTCCTCAAGGCGTGTGGTTAGCGCTGAGGAGGTAAACAGTGACTGAGCTGGATGCAGATAGCACCACCAGCTCCCACTCCACTCCCTGCAAGCCCACAAGCTGACAACTCACCGCATTAACAAGACTGTTGGAAGCGCTCCTGTTTGCTCTCCCAGCCTGCGTGTCCTGTCCTCATGGGGGAAAGCAGGAGAGCAGTGAATACAGAGGAGCAGGAACAGGCTCTGTTGGCCGGGACCCACCTCCATCACAGCTTGCTTAATGGGGCCCATCACCCCTGCCTCGGGGCTGACACCACGGCCTGGATCTGTTCTTCCACCACTGGAGGGAAACATCTCGCCACCGCAGGCAGCTCTGCCCAGTCCTCCATTTAAAAGGGGGAACAACCATTTGTATCCCACAAAAGAGAAGGCAAACGAATGGAAACCCCTTGAAAACCCTTCTGCAGCCTGGAGGTGTGGGAATGGCAGAGCTGACTCCATCAGCCTGTTTCAGACATGGAGGCTGTGATCATCCGAAGGGGAAAGGTATGTTGGAGGCTACCAGAGGGTCCCAGTTAAGGACCAGTCTCTGCATTAATGCTGTTCCCTTTACGAGACACCGTGCTACGTTGTTATGAGCAGTTCTCCTATGAGCCTTACCTACACGCTAAACACCCTAAACATCTGTACAGAACATGGTTATCTATTACACCTGCCAAGGAGGCAGCCGAAATCTACACATAACAATTAAAAACCCGCCCCAAAGGATGTATTTAAATAGAAACCGTTGATTTCTTACATCTCAGCACATGAAGGGTGAACAGAAGAGGTTAAAAAACACACTGGAAAAAGGAAATGTCTCGACAAAATAAATACTTGGAGCTAGAAGAAGGGAGGATTAGAACTTACAAAGGACCCCGATAATAATTCAGTGTCACTGAGTGTCAAGCTGGGATTCCTAACGTGCCTAGAAAGCGCCGGGATGTTCTCACTTATGGATCAGGCTGTGGCTCCATCCCTCTTCTCATAAGCATCGGAGCCACGCCAAGTCCTCTGCCCACTCGCACAGAGGAAGCGCTTGGAGCGAAAGCAAAAGGAAGAAAGAATCAAGAGCTTGGTCTCTGAAGTGAAAACCCCCTTCCCTTTTCCTCACGCAGTTCCCACCGCTCAGGTTTTCCGCAGACCACAAGAGGAAGGGGAAGATGGGAGATCCTGATACAGGACATTAGGGAAGCTCTATTGAAGAAGGTTTGGGCTCAGCTATCCGTTCTGCTGCACACTCTGGCCCCTTCCAGCCCTGATGGGTTTTGTGGGTCCAGGCTCCAAATATACCAGACCCATAAGGGCATCACCAAAAGGACCTTCAGCCATTGCCCCGGGCTGAGCACACAGCTCCCAGGGAAGGCACCTCCTGAGGGCTGCCCCACTTCCAGCAAAGCCACTGCTTGTCCCTACCACCCCCCTGCAAACAGGGCCCTGGTTCCCTATGGATAATGCAGGGCGTCAGTGGGGACCAACACACGCTCCCCATGTCAGCCCCTCTTCTTAGTTCACCTCTTTTCCACCCCAATGGGAGGGAGCAGCCCCTGACAGCTCCAAAAGGGACCAGAATCCCTCTAAAACAAGAACCTGAAGCCCCAGTTCAGGTTCAGTGGGACAGCAAGCAGCAGCATTAACAGCACACACCTCCCCATCCCCTTCTTCTTAGGGGTGGGGGCAGCAGGGTGAGCAAATCCGCAGCAGTGGGGCTCTGCAGGGGGCTCGGTGATAGCTCCCGTGACATCCTTGCCACTCAGCATCATCTGACAATGTCCCCAAGCTTGAGCAATGCGATTATCTCCTCCGGCTTGGCAGGGAAGCTGGATTAACATGCTTAGAATCACCTGATGTGGCCATTTAAAGGGTCAATGTGTTTCAAGGATTTAGAAGGGAAAATACGCACTTAAAACGCCCACAGAGCTTTTTGCACTGACAGGAACGGCACCAATTCATCCTGCGCTGGTAACAGAGCTCAGGCAATCACCAGACACAGCCTGGAAGCAGATCAGCATCACAACAGAAGCTTGTGGCCACATCGGATGTGTCACAGCAGGGCAGGAGCTGGCAGCCAGTGTCTGAGCATTGGGCTCAGTTGGTGTTACACAGCGAGGGCAGTTCCACAGCAGTGCAGAGGTGCAATGAAGGCAGACAGTCCTGGTGCTTTCCATTAGCCATGGAGAAGATGAAACAGGAAGGGAGAGGGCCAGCAAGTGGGGAGAAGAGACACCTTGATCCCTAAGCTGTCTCCATCCTCACGCTGATTTCCCCCCCCATCCACTTGCAAGCCATGCTATGCTCTGCACAGGCAGCTATGGAGCAGTGGGGAGGTGCCAAGTTAGTGCTGGGGGTGGCTACATACAGAGGGATCCTGGAAGAGGATGCAGGCAGAGCAGGAGGGAGGAGAGACAAGCAGGGACAGCAGAGAGCGACATCTGACCTGGGACAACCTGGGAATCCTGCACCGAACACTTCCCACCAAAGGTTAATGTGACCTCTCAAAGACCATCAATGCTGCAGCCAGGCCCTTGGGTACGAGGTTTTATGTGTCACAGCCCACCAAAGCGTGCTGTACCCTAGAGAATATGAGCTGAAATAACTATGCTCTGATAACAGCTTCTATCGTGTTCACCTCAGCTGTTTATAGCACAGCTTCTCGGTGCAGAACAACTTCCGAGAGAGCTCGGCACACATCAGCATCCCGGGAAGCTCGGACACAGTGGCTGGTTGCCCACAGCGAGTGCCCTGAGGAAGAGGGGGCTGGAGCACTGCTGCCTGCACAAGCGTTCATCTGATGAAGTGCCTCTCCCTGCCATGCCGTGTTCAGCTCTCCCTTTGATCCTGCCATCCTGCGCCACTGGCTTCCTACCAAGGAACACGCTGGGGGACGCAGCTGCCTGCTCCAGCTCTGCCTGTCAGCCCAGCAAGGCGGGCACACACGCTGGAATCCCTTCTGGCAGCGCCGGGAAGAGCAGCACTCTCAGCCATGCCTCTGGCAAAGCAAGGGAATAAGCTTGTTTGCACAAGGAGGAAGGAGACTGCAGCCCCACAGGAGCTGGGAGTTAATAAAGGAGCAGAGGTATCAAAAGACATTCCAATACAAGCAACATGGCCACAATCATCCAGCACCTTCTCAGGCCCAAACCTAGAAGGAGATGAGGAGTTTCACCTCCAGCACAGGCAGGCACAGGCAATCCCTCCATGGTCACCATCTCCTTCAGTGTTTTCCTACAAGCTTCTCTGAGGTTGGTCTCTTTGTCTCATACCTACCACCAAGACCCAGCACGTCTATCCTAGCAGGCATGGCAGGGAGTCCAGGAACCTCTCTCAGTTCACACCCAGTCCATGAACAAGTCCCCTCCATCTGCAGGGATGTTATTTACAGTGGCTGAGACAGTCCTACAGTCACCGAAGGAGGAATCAAAGGTAAGGAAAAACCCAACCCGGCTATTCTAAAAGGCAAACACAGTAGGAAAAAGCCCTCCTGTGAGCGTGCTCTCCCAAAGAGCAAACTGCTTCATGCACCGACCTTCCAGCATCCCTTTAGCTGGGTTTCTCATGCTCACCCACTGCCAGAGCTCCTAGACATGGCCAACAGACTGCTTTTAAATTAGAGCAAGCCCAGATAAAACACAAGGGGGGGGGGGGGGGCAAAAATACACCCTGTGAGATTAAGAATATGAAGCACCATACCAAGTGGGGGAAAGCGACCACCATATGGTACCAAGGGATGTGTGAGTGGGAGAGTAAAGGATTTTCACTTGTGAAGCACATGTTGAAAGGGGGAACAGTTGTTCCTTGCTGTCGAATCCGACACGAAAGCCAATCCATTACCATTTCATCTAAAAATAAAGACACGCTCCTCCTGAACATTCCAGCTCAGTCAATTACATGCTGATCGACAGAGCAGTCTACTTGGCAGGACCTGCCTACAGAAGAGGATGATCCCTACATAAATTGAAGGGCAAGGCTGCTCTCTCCCCTCTGGGCTTTTGTTTCAACGCAGTGTGACGTACTCATGCATTCTAAAGGGGTTTCAGCATCCAGAGCTGGTTTTGTGCAGCTGGGATAGGAAGGAGGGGATTAAGCGAGTGCTGGAGAATCGTGGTCTGGCAGGAACAGTGTTGGGCTTAAATAGAAAGAGTCAGCTCGTGGGGGTGGGCTGTTTGGGGAGGAGAAGGAGGGGAGGGAAAGAGAAGCAATCTATGAACTCAGGAGGAAGGAGGTCGTTGTTATTGTGGGAGGACAGAGTGGCCGCACAGAGCCATTCGCCTGCAGAGCACAGGGGTGGGAGGGTGGCAAAGAGCGATCTTCACAGTGCAAAGAGGGCATCCTCGGAGCGCTCCTGCTTTTTCCTGCTGGCAGGGTTTGTTGGAGGGGTGGGGGTCTCCTGGGGAGGGGAGGGCAGGTTGGGAACCATCTCCGCCGCTTTGGCTCGCTCTTCTAGGAATTTGTCAAACTCTGCAAGGCAAAACGAGAGAGAAGGGAAACCAGGTAAGAAGCAGGCAGAGGTCAGCAGGGACTCAAACCCCAACGCCTGGCATCGGCAGGCACACATTCCTGTGCAGCCTGACTTCCTCAGGAAAGGGTTCAGTGTCCTCTGAGACACCCCAGCTCAGGCAGCAGAGGGAATCAATCCCACGCTACGCCGTCGGCTGCGACAGAAGCAGGGAGACATCATTCCAAAGGGCTGAGCAGCCTGGAGACGCGTTCCTGCTGGCACACACACACAGGGCACAGCCAAGGGAGATGGTAGGAAAGCACTTACAGCCAGGAGGGCTCCTCACACCATTTCATTTGCTCTGCAATGCTTTCCTCCTGCCTGAGTACAGAAGCATTTGCTGGGGAACATCAGGCTGGGAGAAGTCAGCATCTCAGCAGGGCTCAAAGCAGACAACTCAGGCTGTGTACATAACCCACAGCCACAGGCATCTCTGCTTACCTTCACTGGTCACTCCTTCTTCTGGCTCGTTTCCTTTCTGCAATGGGAACAAAAAGGTGTGTGAGCACACAGGCTGCACCTCCACTGTTATCCTCTATACACATTCAGTGCAACTGGACAGCTTCCACCACTTGTTTCCACATGGTAACCTGGGGAAATCACACATCTCCCACACTGGGAGGCCAATGGTGACATTTCCCTGTGCTGGAGAGCAAGAAGATGAGCACTAGAGATGCTACTCAGGATTGCTGGTGGATAGCCAACCTTCCCTGTTGGACCAGTGCTGTTTCCACTTCAGACAGTAAGGTCTGGTCAAGAAGTGAGCTGTGTGAGTCACACAACCCCTGTACAAGATGACATCTCTGTCACAGAGTCAGGACTGTGGTTTGCATTGTCTCTTCAAATCAAATGCACTTCTAGCTGATAAAGGACACATGTCACAGAATGGTTTGAGGCCAATGCTGCTCCTGCAGGAGCTCATTTTAGCTTTCATAAAAGATCCAGCAGCTTTCCTGGTGCCCATGCTGTACAAAGACAAGCCTAAGGTGGGCTGCATGAAGGATGCTGTCCATGAGCTATGAAAGCTGGGATGCCAGGGGTCAGTGCTTTTTGACCAGCTGGGTGCATTTCAACAGTGCTTCAATAAGGAAATTAAGAGTCCAAGGATGTGGCATCCCTGTCAATCCATTGGGATGTTAAAGAGGGATGAAAATACTCCTTGAAAACCTGCTTTGAAAGACAAAAGTCTTTCTCCACACCCTGGTCTCACAGAGGTTTTTAATGCCTTCAGCATCACAGCCACCTAGAATCTACTGGCTTTCTATTGCAGAGGTTTCCAGAGGAACATGCAGCAGCCACTGCTCCACAGGCAGAGGTACTGCTTGTGCCAGTGTACCCCCAAAAAGGGTATGGAAATCAGTAATAATTAGACAACCTAATGTGTAACTTCCTCAGCTGAAATGAATCATGAACAAAAACAGGATGGGGGGGACCCAGAGTGAAACCCAAAACTCCAGTCCAAACTTTGCTTGCTCTGCTCTTTTTGAGCAAGAGTACCTGGGGGATGCTACCCCGAGATCTCTCCATGAGATCTTTTCTCTTGCTAAATTCATTTAAATGGCAAAGATAAGAGGGTACTGTTTAAGCAGAGGCAACATGCTACATTGCCTGTGTTTCTTTAACAAAATGAGGCCAGTTTGTAATTCAATTTGAAAATGACTTCCTGGACCCAGGCCTGAACAAACTACCTGCAGCTGAACACCAGGGACATTCAACCAGTGCCAAGCTCAAACACTGAAACCCAGAGTCTGCTGAAACACTTGAGGAGGCTTTGGAGAGCAGGAGGCTCTTTCTTCCTCTCAGTACAGGCAGCTCCTCTGGTCTGACATGCTGGAGCATGCCTGCAGCTCTGCTGCCAGGGCCAGGGAGCGGAGCCTCAACTCCCAGTGAGGAGCTGAGCAGGCAATAGCAAGGGGTTGGGGGTGACCTTAAGGAGTTACCTAGGGACAATATCGGAAGGTAGAAGAATGGAAGGAGATGCTCTGCCAGAGGGGAGACTGAGATGAGCTCTTAGGCACAAGCTCTTCCCTGTGAGGGTGCTGAGGCGCTGGCACAGGGTGCCCAGAGAAGCTGTGGCTGCCCCATCCCTGGCAGTGTTCAAGGCCAGGTTGGACACAGGGGCTTGGAGCACCCTGCTCCAGTGGAAGGTGTCCCTGCCCGTGGCAGGGGGCTGGGACTGGATGTGCTTTAAGGTCCTTTCCAACCAAAACCATTCTGGGACCCTGTGATCCTTAGGGATATGGTGAGCACAAGGAAACAGTTCAGTTCACTAAAACCATGTTTAAAGGAAGTCTCAAACGTGACCCAGCACCCGTCTCCAAAATGCACTTGGTTAATTTGAGTCAGATGCTTACATTAACATAGAGACCAAAATAAACGTGTGCTGGATGTCCCACTGCTTAAACCACTGTGTGTTGGGACAGCAAAACAAACTCCAGAATGAGGGAAAAGCTACTTTTAGTTCTGTGTTTTGTTTGTTTAATAATCACCAGACAATAATCAGCCAGGAGAAACCGAAAGTTCTAAACACTGAAGAAAGTCTATTATGAACCATGTCATTGTGGCTTGCCAATGTAACAGAGACATCGTGATCTGAAAGGAGGCTAAGCCCAGATCCAGCATCTTTTAGAATCAGGCCTCCATATAAGCAGGTACTTACCGTCCAAGCTTAAACATGGGCTTTAAGTCATGGAGAACAGAGGTAAACTTCAGCACATGTTTAAATGCTTTTCTGTCCGGGGACCAGAAACACATCATTTCTGGTGTGTGCGATGCTAACATGGAGAAGTGAAAAGGAAACGACTCAAAAATGAAAGAAACAACATTTTGATTGAATTGCTGAAGACAACCCTCTCTCCTCCTGCCTGGCTATTCCTTTCCATGGGAAATAAGCTATATGATTTGGTAGTCTCACTGCCTCCTATTAAGAGAAGTACCAGCAATGCATTGACAGTTATGTGTACAAGTGCCCATGTGAAAAAGGAAAATATAAAGAGTCTCACCAAGTCGGTACTGAGCCACTCCTCAATGTCATCCATGACAGAGGACTGTGCAACAGGGATCTAGGGAGTGCAGCGAGAGAACAGCAAGGCAGGCAAAAACCAAAACACATCCACAATCATGGCCACAGAGCGACGGAAAACGCCAGAAATCAGATTCAAAAAAACAAAACAAAACAAAAACAAAGGTGTAAGATGGGCTGGAAGGAAAAAAAAAAGGAAAAAAAAAAGAAAAGGCAACAAAATATAAATGGCATTTTAAATAAAGAAACACTTGGGGAAGGAAATGATGAACAACAAGGCTAAATAAAACAACCCAAGAGAAGATTAGGGGGAAATGATGTGACTTGATGCCAGCGTGACTTCTCGACCACGTATTAAAACCATCAAGATGGACTGATGGTTCTAATCGTGATGGTGGAAAGCTTTTAAGGGTAGAATACTGGATCTCAGTTAGGTTTTGAAAGGTTAAATTTGCACCTTTTTGTTTTGGACAATGGGTATTAGGCACAGTGAAGGGTTAGCAAAATGAGGGGCTGAGAGTCTTCAGGCAACACTCCTATGAGGACAGTTTGGCTCTCTTTGCGGGTGGAGGCAGTCAGAGCTCAGGGTACACAGTCCTGTTTCCTTCCAGGTCCTCCTCCCTCCCCACAGAATCATAGAATAGTTAGGGTTGGAAAGGACCTTAAGATCATCCAGTTCCAACCCCCTGCCATGGGCAGGGACATCTCACACTAAACCATCTCACCCAAGGCTTCGTCCAACCTGGTCTTGAACACTGAGCCTTGGAACACTGGATTAAAGCAAAACTGTCCCAGCTCCATATTCTCTATATTCTATGACCGTCTCCCAGCAGATCCCAACCTGTGCCAGTGTAAAGTGTGGAGTCTCAAAGGTGAAGGTGAGGAGGAGGAGGATGGGGCAGCAGCTCCTGGCGTGCGTACAGGAGGAAAGCACAGCACAGCACTCTTGACTCCTTGTCAGGCCTCTATAGATGGTGCAATGAAAAGGCATGGAAGGCTTGCATGTCCTCCTGTGACAAACCCACTCACATTTCACTGTCTAACGATGACAGCAGCGTGCTGAGCACTGAAGTTATCTCACAAAGTGCTACAAGCAACGGGGTCAGCGGAGGGAAATCGCTGCCTATTAGGTGTAGAGTTTCCTGACTTAACTACACGGCTTCAGTACAACTGAGGGCTGCAGGAGTAAACAGGAAAACTGCACAATAGATCTCGTGAGGACAACCTGAAAAACACTTGGAAAGCCAAGTCAGACACAGGTTCCAGGCCAGAGCACAGCAGTGGTGCTGGAGCACCTTTCACTAGACCAGGTTGCTCCAAGCCCCATCCAACCTGGCCTTTTTCTCCCAATCAGGTGGCCCTTTGTATTAAGGAGGTCAGTTAAGCCCTCGCTTGAGTTGAGGTCTGTGAAGGTGGGTTAGCTGTGTCTAAGGAGTGGAAATCCAGGCCTCAGTTCAAAGCATCTCCCACTGAGAGGCACTGGGATGATGGCTTGGCTCTGACTCTGCAGGCTGCTGGACAAAGTGCATGGGACAGATCCAAGAAGGGTGAGAGGTGCAAGTCGTTTTGCTTTCAGCTAATACATGAAGATCCCAAACAGAAAAGAATTTCCTGCCTTTTCCTTTGGAATGGGCCAGATGAAGGATTAATTGCTCCTTTTTAACTTGCAAGGGAGAGCTGAATCATGCACATACTGCAAGGTGGCCATTAACAAGAGGCGGGCTCTGTAGACATCTTCCGACGCATTCCTTCCCAAAGACAAGTTGCATCTTGTAGGACTGGCTTGTTGGTTTAACAGCTTTGGAGAAGACAGGCTTTAGAAATACAAAGCAATGGAATTATTCAGCCTACAGCAACCTAAAAACTCCAGCAGAAGTTTCCCTGCTGTCTCTCTCCTGCATTGCTTAACACCGCACACAATAAGGGATGCTCTGGGAGGTGCAGCCTTCAGAGCTGCTATGAAAGGTGTTTGAAGGTTTCTCTAAGGACAGGATAATGTGTATGGAGGGGAGGAAGAAAATAGCAGGGTTTTTTTGCTCATCTATGAATAAAATAAGAGCAGCTGTTCTATAAAGTACATTATGCAGTCCCTGTGTTGGAAGAAACACGGTTCATATCTCAGTTATCCCGAAAACAGGACAGACGACTGAGCAAGGAACGGACTCTTGAGTTTGCAGGAGTCCTGGAAGAGCAGCTCAGCAGTACAGGAACCTGTGCTGCTGTGTTCTGTAAGACTTCAAGAAAGAAAGGAATCCCACTTTCAGACAGACCTACTTTATATAACAAACACAACCCTCACAAGTGCAAGCACACTTCTCACGCAGGTCATATATAAGCCGCAGAGAGAACTGCAGGATAAACATTTGAGCACGTCAGCCTTTTGCTATTCAGAACTGACCTTTTAAAAAGCTCCCCCTACCTTCCAGCATGCCACAGAAGTGCCAAGGGTTTGTATCTATTGCTCCTTCCCTCCTCAAACACAATTTATTGTGGCAGTCGGAGCCCCAGTTCCCCCATAAACCATGGGTTCAATGCCTCAGGTTTAATTTGCTCAGGAATAAAGAAGGGGGGAAACTCTTCAGAGTAAGGGGAAGTTTTAACGTGTTTTAAGACTGCACCGTTTCTATTCCAGTTGAAAGTGGCCACATGCAGACGTTTGGCTTTTGCCAGTCTCTTGTGGCTTTGGCAAGTTTCCCCTTTCCAGAAGCCCTGAACTGAAAAGTGTTGAGGGGAGTTTTGTTCAAACTAATCCCCTACAACACAACGGGAGCAATGGGGAAAAAAAATAAATCAATGAGCTGGTTTACACATTAAAAAGAAACAACAGTTGCTGGGAACAAGCAGCAGTGGCAGCCACAGACTACATGGAAATGGCTCCAGAGTGGGATAGCCTCTAGTTAATACTTTGATTATGCAAACATACACGGTCTAGTGAAGCTCTGAGTCTTGGCAAGACAGTTCCCTCGACAGTCATTGTTGGCTGCAAGAGCTGTTTTTATACCAAGATTGTGATTTCTTTGAGTCTATACTCAAAGTCAATGGAAGTTAAGTCACAAAATAGTTTTGGGTCCTTTACGTAACTGGCCTGAATTAAACGTTGGGCTCAATGGTCAAGTTCCTTTTTTATTTCGTCTTTGGAAAATCCTACTAATGGGATCATCTCAACAATCCCGAAAGGGAAATGGAAAAGGAGGGCTGGGAGAACAAAAGGAAGCACTCAGTCCCACAAAACCCACAGGAACCTGGAATTCAAGGCCTTACTTCGGTCTAAGTTAGATCGTGTTGGTGTTCTCACTAGCAATCAAAAGCCAAAGAGTATTGCCAATAGATTTCCTCAGACGTCATACAATCCAATATTCTACCCTTAAAAAGACAGTTTGAGGTTATTATCATCACATTTCATTTCTATTAAAGATGATCCCACTGGAAAAGAAGCAGGTATGAAATGACAATTCAGGTTTCTAGGTGAGCTCATTAATGTTCTTCAAATGTTTAACAAGGTTTGTGCTAATTGTTGCTAGACTACTGTCTTGTAGTAGTTTAGTTAATCCCACTTCTTTCTATGACAAAGCTGACACCAACACTTGGTTAGTTGCTATTCACTCCCCCCCTCAGTTAGCAATAGTAAAGAGAGGTCTGTCATTCCTACAGCAGCAGAACGAGCACTAAGATGCGTACTAGCAGTCTACTCCAGCTTACTACTACAGACTTACCACCTATTTAAAGCTGTTGTAATCTTGAAATAGCTGCCTGGCCTCAATATTAGAACATGTTTGACTTTACAGGTAAGGGTTTAATTAGCTACTTGATTACCTGGAACTGTGTTTGCACATTGCATAGACAGGGAAAGCAAGAGCTCAGGTGCGGTACGCTCCCCAACACAGCCTGTTGTGCCCGTACAACAACCAGCCCATCTGGATCTGATGGCATGTCCAGGCAGTGAAAGCCTTTGTTCACGTGGGTGTCCCTATAGAGTGGCTCCATAAAATGCCATGGCTGGGCAGGGAATGAAACCTATGTGGTCTTCAGAACAAGGGAACAAGCCTGCTTGCCTTCAAAAGGGTCTCACCACACTGAAGAAATGAGATCTTCCTGTGTTTATCTCTCTTATCTGTCCACAGCTCAAGCACTTTAGTCCCCAAGAAGATGATGCATTTCAACAGTCTCGTGTTACCCAAGGCATTTCCACATCTTAGATCCTATCTCTCTACTGAAGGCACATAGCGGCATCCCACTTTGCCACTGATCAACAACATCCTGCAAAGGTTTCATTTACTCTTTACTCACATATCTTTATCTCCTCTTCAGCCAGGCATGCTGCTGGTGGTCGAGATGCAATGCTGAAAGCTCTTCCTATCACTTTCTGTGACCTCTGGTTCAGTTTTAGTCTTCTCACATAACACCTGCCCTGATGTGGTGGTTTAAGCAACACCTACTTCTCACTTTCATTATAAACACCTATTTGGCATGTGAGTGGGGTAACAGATGATCATAACAATTAGATCTCAATTACTGCCCAAACTCATGAGGAGGGAACTGGAATTACCTGCACTAAAATGTGGTGGCCTTATGCTCAAGTCTGTGCCTATGAGCTGCTGATACAAACCCCTGTATGACACCCCCCTTGCAAAAACCCAGACCTTACACTGCAAACAGACCCATCACTGGAACAGCTCAGCTGCCATCCCTAAATCACATTTGTACCACAAACTTTTCTGTAGCTATCACTCTGTCTACATTAGCTGGAATGGATAAAGGTGTGGTTTGTGTCTCCGTGGTCCTGGCATCCCTTTGTCAGCAGAACTGAACTGTAGGTGAAGCCGAAACAGAAGCAACACTGCCAAGAGAGTACAAAAGCCCTGAGTGAGCCCTCCTCTGCAAAGGTGTGGTGGTAGAACTGGGATGCACAGAAACGGAGTGAGAAGAACTCAACCCTAAGCTAAAACATCCTGGTTTGGGATATAAAACGTATCACGAGGGATGCTCTGGCATGGGGAGGATGCCCTTTCAGTGGTCACAGTGTTGTACAGGCACAGCTAATGGCAATGTCAGCTCACCCCTCTTATACCTCTCCAAGTACAAAAAGCTACCAAGGGAATGTGCACATCAAGTTCATACCTGGGATGCTAATTATTCCACTGGTATTGCAAATGCTACAAAGTCGTATTAATAAATATGGTTAAGAACTACAGCCAGTTACAAGGAAAACAGAGTTAATCATTAGTTTTGGTTTAGGCATTTCTCTCTCACATTCAGCATACAAACAAGGTGACAGGTTTGTAAGATCTGGACAGCCAGATCCCTTTCCCTCCCCAGATCCATATGCCTCCACGAATGCTGCAGTATCCTTTTTCCAGGCTGAATAACCACAAGCCAATGAAGGAATATTGTCTTTGTTTTCTTAATAAAGCAGTGGCGAGAGTGGTGGGAACAGCAGGGGGGCTGATTTCATGCTTCCCCGCTCTTGTAAACAGTGGAAAGGCAAAGAAGAGGAACTAACTAAATCACTGGGTTATTCATTATGGATGAACATCTCACAGCAGCACAGCACATCTCGGGCTGCAACAGAGCCACCAAGCAGCAAGAGCCTCTGTGAACTACAGTCAACGCTATCAGAGGCAAAGCGAACGCTGCACACTCCACACCTTTTCACTCTGGTGTTGAGCTGGGGGTCTCTGACAAGCCCCAAACTGAAATGCTGCCTCCCAAGGACAGGTACCTACAGTTTGAGTTTAGCCACGTGTGCCTGCAGGCACAGCATCGCTTTTGGGTGCTTGCATGGGCAGGCAGATACAATTGGATGGATGCTATGTGTGCAATGGCATGCAAACTCCTGACAAATTCCTAACCTGCCCCTCAGAAATCACCTGGATTACCCCTAAATCTAAAGGAATAAATACAAAGTGTTTCACAGATTATTTGATATTGGATTTTCTCAACCTTAAACTCTGGAATGTTTCTCTTCATAAGCACTGGGCAGCCTGGTCGGGGATATTCAAGGCTCTCCCTGGAGTGAGGCATTCCTGCCCCATGGGGCCTCCAGACACCCAGCCCCACAGGCTGCACTGCAAGTGCACCCCAGCCCAAAGGGAATTCTATACTGTGCCTTTACTGAACTCAGCTCCAGCCAGGACTGCTTCAGAGGGTGTTTGTACAGTCACATCATTGGTACTAATCTTAAACAACACTTCAGATGATGGATTATGGCATCCAAAAACACAAAACTGCTCTTAGAACTTGGCTTTAAGGCATAGCTGAGGCTATTTTTTACCTACCTCTGACTTCTGCACTTAAAGCAGGCTTTTGAACTGCTCTCTGCAAGCCTGTTGATGAAGGACAACTTCAAACAAGGTCAACATGTGCAGAGATTCAGTGATGTTCAGAAGCCTGATTTTATCAGAGCACTGGCATCACTAGACATGGGAATTAAGTCCTGAAAGCCAGAAACACTCTTGTACCTTTTGGAGTCTGAATCCCAATGGCAGTGGGGTGCAAGAAGTCAACAGTGGGGAGCAGCTCTCCCATTCCTTTCATACAGAACTATCCCTGCATTATTCATTCCAATAGGTATGATCCTACAGCTTCCATATGTTTATTCCAGACCACATACTTAAGCACTACCAGAAAAGGCTGCTTTAAAGACACATAAGAAGTGTGCTCTTTATGGACAAGATCCAGGAGACTTGTGTTTATCCCTCGAAAAGTGGATACTGCATAAATAAATCAAGACAGTATAAGGAACCAAATGGATCCCCAGGCTTCTTCCAAAGGCAATGGGGGATCCTACAGATGATTCAGTTGGTTACAGGCCTGTATAAACCAGGAATTGGTGCAAATCTTTCCCTTTGCCCCAGGAAATGATGTAGGTAGGAAATAAACTCCTTGTACTGTCTGATTTCAAGCGGTTCAGTAGGGCAGGACAGGAGGTGAATGGAGGATGGTTATTCTAGGTGAAGGGGCTGGGGTGGGCAATAGGAATCGCTTCACTGGTGAAGTCCTCACCATTCCTTGTGTAATTAGCCACTTGTCTATGGGCTCCATGTCTGAGTTCCCACCTTTACCTCTCCTCTGTGTTGAGAACAGAAAGGTCCATAAAGAAAGAAACCACAGCAACAACCCATTATAAAGTAACAGAACAGCAGCAAGTTGAAAACTTCACATCCACGTCACACACAGACAGAGATGCATCCCCCTCTGCTCCCTGTCCGCTCTGTGGAGGGACAGGCCTCCCCTGACCTCTGCACTTCCTACAGACAGCTCATGGTATTTGAGCACTTCCTCCCCACCGATATTAAAACCCAATGCCACTGACTAGTAGTGAGGCTGATGTTTGTCATCTTAGAAGGAAGATACAGGCTACCCGACCTACTAAAATCAGACTTACTGGAAACACACTGTGGAGTTTCCCCTGTTTATGAAGCTGGGAGTTGCAGCACACCCTAGTTACCTGCTTGATCTCAGCAGACACACTCTGCCCCAAACTCGAAGTGTGACAGCTCTACTGTTGGTGCTGAGCAGGAGGGTAAGTAAAGCAGTTTGCTGCAGTGCTCTGGCAACCTTTCAAAGTGCCCCTCTTGAGGAGCAGCAGAGGTTAAAAGGACTATGTTCAGTTGCAGACTGCATGGCACAGCAACACAGAGACTCCCAAGATGGTTCAGTGTCATTCAGCATCTCATCTCTGTGCCAGGGCATGGGTGCAGAGTCATCTGAGCTCCAGAGGGGCTGGCCTGGGACAGAGCACAGTGATTCCAGCCCACCAGCCCTGGCAGAACCAGGCCAGCTCAGCAGAGCCACTGGTGTGGTTATGTACAACACTCATACCCACGGTGCCCCCATTCCACACATAATGGAGAATCAGCTGTAACCTTTTACATCTCATTGCAGTACATGTGCTGCAAAAGAAGGGGGGGGACACGACAAAACCACTCCAGCTTCATCTCCTCTCTGGGTAACACCAGAGGATTGTTTCTTGGCCACCTCTCCTCCCAATCGTGATCACGCAACCGCTCCGTGGCAACGAAAGCAATTCCCAACATGGAAAAGCAATATTAAGAAAACTGTTATTTTTAGCTCCTCTCGTTTCCAGCTGCTAAATCATATGAGAAGCCAGCTCATGCCACGTGAGCAGCCATCTCCCTGCAGACCATTCTGAGAACGGCTGCATTAGGAACGTCGGATGTGCTGGGTTTTACCCCTGGAACAAGACATGTGTGAAGAATGTGTTGTGAACCTCTTGGCTCCTCCCTAGAGCTGCTCTTAAATTAGCTCTCTACCCAAATGAATGCGTGTCGTTTGGTTACTGAGCGCTGCCAGGGGGTTTTGACACACATAACTTGAGGAGGGTTTAATTTCCTTGCAGAAGAGACACCCACAAGCCTCACAAACGCTTGACACGAAGCAGTGTTTACCCACGAAGGGCTGCGTTTCAAAACAAGCGATTCTGATGACATGATGCAGTCAGCAGGACCTTTGAAAAGGGGCTGGAAGGCTCTGCAACACCTCAGAGCCTAAAGTTCTGCAGCCCATAAAGCCTCTGCCTCAGAAAATACTCTGACCATCAGATTAGCTCAGACACAGCCCTTTGAACTGACACCACTCGGGGCAGAGCTGGTGTGAATGACACGTCCCATCAGGGCCTCAAGCAGAACTGGCTGAGAACAAAAGTGTTAATAACTAAGGACACGACCCCGTGGCCACCAAGGGGAATACAGCCCCTTGACCAGTAGCTAAATGCAGGCCCCTTTGCTTTTCCAGGAACAAAGAGGAGAAGCTCAAATCCTTTCCCAGGTCCTGCCAATAACTCAGCACAGTGACACTGAGGGCTTGGGTTGTCACACTGGCTTCAGGAATTCCCCTCTCATCCCTACCTTAATGTACTTCTGCCTTCCCATGCTTCCCTTTTTCCCCCCTCGCTGCTGCTATGAGTTTTTGTGGGGCTGAGCTTGAAACTGGTCATGGGGCTGACCTGGGTTATAAATTATCCTTTCTGCAGCAGGACAGGGACAGGAACAAGCAGCTGGATTTGGGGGAGGCGGGGGGGGGATGCTCCATAAGGAATCATTGCTGAAGCCCTGCCGCCATTGAACTATGGCCCAGGCAGGCAGGCAGCTGGGATCTGACCCCAGCTGGCTCCCAAAGCAAATTCCCCCCTGGCTCAGAGCACAGGCTGCCAGGCATGCCAGCTGTCCTGAGCGCTCCCATTTCAACTTAGGAAAGAACTGGGGCGGGATCAGCCTAGGCATGGGGAGGCAACTCTCCATGGAGGGAGGTGTGTGCGCTACACTGGCTCTGCCGTGCTCCCTAGTGGTCAGCACAGGCTGGAAAAGGCTTTGACCTCGTTCCATCATCTCCAAACTGACAGCCGAGTAACAAAAGAGCAGGGCAGGTTTAAAAAGCAGGGTGGTAGGAAGGGGTGGAGGGATGATTTGAAAGCTCTTTTCACTTCTGCCTTCACCAAGGCGCACAGGCAAAGCTGGCCAAGCTCAGTCTCTCAAACACGTTTCTAGCATCAGCTGCTGGGAGGTGACAGCACACAGGCCTCCTCTGCCCACACAAGAGAGCAGGATCCTACCTTGGAACAGACAGAACAGACTGCATGCAAGGGCACTTATAGCAAGGCATGTGAAGCATTAAGTCTCTCCCTGTAACTTGTTCTTGTATCCATGCACTTAGAGCAAAGTCTAATAGATTAAGACTGCATCAACTTTCATAAGGAAAACCAAACCAAATTCACACCAGTGCTCGCAAGACATTCCCCACTTATTCTTTTCAGCAGTGATTCCAGTCAAAGAGCTGAAGCCCCGCGGGCAAGCTGCAAGAACACAGGAGAATTTACCCACTCTGATTATGATCTCTTTTAGGCTGGTGTGCTAAGTAGCAGCTCTTTAGAGATCATTACTGCGCAAGTACTTGCTCCTAGATATCAATTTCAAAATAGCCAGCGCTAGCATGTTGTTGGAATACAGAATGAGAAGTCTCAGTCAAAAGCAGCTGCCTACAGCTTGGATTCCATGCACGGCTCCAGATAACGAAACACAGAGCAACAACCTACCCCTCCTGTGTTCTGTTTTCGAACATCCAGGGCAGACGCTAGTCCTTTGACAGCCTGTGGATCCTCATATGTCACGCTGCAAGAAAGGAACAGACCATAGAAACAGAAGGAAGTCCAGCAGTCACCCATGAGGAATGCACTTGCTACTCTGATTTACACCCCTGGAAATCAGAAAGCATGCTCTTTTTCTTAACAAGACTTCAAACATACGAAGTGTATTCCAAGAGGAGGAGCGTGCGCTGTATAAAGACCATCCATCAGTTTCAATAAGCATGTTGAAGCAAAAAGAGTAAGACCAGCATTATGAAAGGAAGGCAAATAGGTTATGAGGCACCATAAGCATGTCCAAGAGCTCGCAGAAGACTATGAAAGGAAGCCAGATTACAGATTACGTTTTGCAAAGCTCTGGATATGACATCTGGAAGCCTGACCTTGGTACATGCATGGGGGGGAGGCAGGAGAGGAGGGCTCGAAGGCAGATGAAATAACTAAGGAACTACAGTGAAGCATACAAAATAAATGCACTATTTGCTTCTTCAACTGCTATGCAAAAGGGACATGTCACAGTCAGGTGACAGAGGCAAGAGCATCATTTCTCAGAGCACAGTGGTGAGCCATGAGCTGAAGCAAACGCTAAGACCTGCCCATAAATCAGCCCCTGGGAGGAGCTGCATGTCTGAGCAGGAGGAGCCCTTCCTCCTCCAGCCTGCTGGCTTCTCCCAGGCTCTGAACACAGCACGCAGAGGCTCTCACCTACACAGCACAGCAAGTCACACTCACATCTTCCCTGCCTTGCTGCTGCTCCATTTATACAGCGTACAACCCAAGGAAGATATAGCAATCCTCCCTTGTGAAATCAGGGACTGATATGTGCTCCTTGTTCCATTAGCTTGCAGAATGAGATAGAGGTGCAGTGTGGGAAGACTAGTTTTGTGCTTCATTTAGCACAAGAGACAGAGGGACCTCTATTAGATCTCTCTGCAATGCATCCCCTTTCTGACTACACATTAGGGCTCTCAGCCTGAAATCTCCAGTGGTAACGCACGCCTCTACAGCAGAGCATGTCTTCTCAACACGGATATTACAGCTGAGGCAGGACCAATAGCTATATTGAGAACTGCAAATAAAAGATCCTGATAGATTTGCTGGCTCAAGCTGGTATGTTTCAGCCAATGTGCTAAGGTCTGAGCTAAGCTATTTAACAACAGCTCTTAGTTTGAGACAAGATATTGATGATGTTCTAACTGCTCGTAGCTACTACATCCTCTAGAACCTGAAACCAGGAGGCAAAGAAATAATACCTGAAAAAAAAATACCCAGGTGTGTCTTTTACTGAATCTCACTTGACAGGGATCAAAGTATTTCTTCCTAAGTGCATAGATTTATTTCACATTAAAATAATGTGACCTGTTAAATGCCCTTGAAAGTGCCAGCTTTGCAGCTCTGGAGATGCAAGCCCCATGCATATAAACAAATTAGGAATAGCATGGCAGCCAGGCAAGCTGCACTGCCTTTGACAGCCTGCAAGAGCCTGACTGCTGGGCCAAAGGGAGACTTTAACTGGATGGTAATTCTGTTTCCAAGCCCTTGATGACAGTAATTCAGTCACCAAAGCATATCCATGACCTTCAGGTGAAGGACCCTTATGCTCCTGTATCTCAAGCACTGGCTGGGTGGATGGGATGACAAGCCTTTATGAGAGGAAGCATCTGCAGAAATAAAGGCAAGTACATTTCCAGGTTTCCAGTGAGCTCATTAACTGTGACAGTCAAATAACATTTCTCAGCTGGCCTGTTCTGCCCACAGCAGCAGGAACTTCTCCACTTGCTCATCCTAATAATGACCAACAGGATAAGAATTGGATGAGAAGCACAAAAACATAAACCAAAACTACTTTTTTCCCTCTGGAACAAAGTCAAGAAGCTTCAGATTTATGCCCTTAGAAAACAGCAACCCCATGACTCAAACAGTGCTAAAGACAAACTCCACATACTTCTTTCGCTGCTCAGCCAAGGAACTGCCTCTTGTCTGTGCAAACATGTCGAAGTCATCACGAGGATTGGAGTGCTGGAGAGAGCTGAGTGTGCTGCTGACGCTGTTTGTACCCAAGTCTGCAACAAGAAGCACAGAAAGGAAAGCAGTGAAGCAGCAAACCATATACAAGCCCCACTGCCATGACTGTAGAGGGTACACAGGATGTCATTAACAACACAGACAGCTATAGGTACCATCTAGTTTACAGTTGCAGCACTCAAGTTCTGTCCAGAAGAGGCTGGAGGCTGCTAATCATGCAGCCCTTAAAAGACAAATGTAGAGACTGTCTTATTCCGCCTGGAAGCACCACAGCATCTGCTGCCCATCCCATCCTGAATAGGCCCATCCCATTCACTAACATGGTCTAAGATTTTGGGCATGGGTATTAGTCTTGCCACAATGTTCTCTCAACTACTGACTGCGAAACCAACAGTTTCAAGGCAAGTGATAGGATATTGATGCAGTGCTGAAAGAGGTGGAGAACCTTCAGTCAAATCAAGTGATCCTATCAAGCAATCTTTGGTCTGATTTAATGTAAAACACTTAATGGTTTCATGAAGCCTTTCACCCAAAGATTTCAAGTATCATTTGTAGGAAAGGAATCAAGAACATTCACAATAAGGGTTTGCACTGGGTGTTCACATTGGTCACAGGGACCTCAGCAACTGCCAGACTTGCTCCTGCAATCACACACATGGATTGCCCAGCAGCCTGCACATGATGGTCAAGACCCATAGACCTGTTAGGTTTGGAAAAGTCCATGCCTTGAGCCTGGTGTTCATCAGCACTCTTCAGAACAGGTACTCACCAAGCCCTGCAAGCTGTGAAGAAAGTGAAGACGGGGGAGCCGAGTTTCCAACCATTGGGCTCACTACAGCTGGAGAGCCAGGACCCAGATCTATTAAGTTATCTTCTGTCACCTCATTCAGTACCTGTTGGGACATGAGAAACAAAGCAATCTGCACATGGCAGAGGGTTCTTCTTGCAGTGCAAGACCAAAACATAATGGGTGCTTCCTTGCACACTGCCAAATGGACCAGTCTCTTGGATACTACAGTGGTAAATGCAGAACAAGGAGGGTCAGCCACCAAAAAAACCCCTCAGTTTGACTGCTCAGCACAGCCAGAAACTCTCCTGGAGGTCATCAATATCTCTTCAGCTTTAGTTGGTATCTCTGTGTTCTCCACCTCTTTTAGGACCAGGCCAGCAACATATCTAAGTCAAACTGAGTTTGCTGCCATCCTCCACTTTAGGTACATACTGCTTTCAGAAGCAAAACTTCTTGCTGTGGCTGAAGTTACCATGCAGAGCCAGTGCTGGAGTTTGCATCAGTCTGCAGTGGAACAGCCATCAAACAGGCAAAGCAAACAGAGGAAATGGTTAGAAGGTGGCAGAACAGTAAATGTAATAGTGACACATAAGAATGCATCAGAAACTCAGATCTTGAACATTGAATGAATAAGAACTGTAATTCTTCAGCTTGGAAAGAGGCTGCTGAAAAAGGAGAAGTTCCTAAACTTATGAGTAGCATTAAGAAAATTAACCTGCACAGTGGCATTATAAGACACAGTGATCAAATGTAAGCAAAACAGTTATTAAAAATACTCACACAAATACAAAACAATGCATAGTGAATCTGTGGAACTCACTACTTAAGGGCATTATGAAAGCCTAAAGTCCACATGGACTCAAAAGCACCCATAAAAGTTAGAGGAAAGAAAACCCACGGAGGACTGTAAACACAGATGTTTTAGTGGAGGGGCTTCCTGAGCTAAAGGATGTCACTTGTGGTTTGCACACCCTTAGGCTCTTTTCCCTGTATCCACTTCACCACTACAGGCAGAAGAGAAGGCTGGAGAGGTAAAAGGTCTGATCCCAGTGATATTAGTATGGTGTAACTGCTGATATAATAAATGGAGTTAGGTACTTACTCCATTGCTGGCATTTTGTGTTGAACGTCCCGATCTGTAGCGCTCAAATCTGTTCAGAAAACAACAAAAAGCCAACATGGATTATCAAAACCATCAATAAACAGTGAAAAACACGAGTTTAACAAAACCACCACACTGAACTCTGCTTTTGCTGGTTTAAGAAGGAAGCCTGGAAGCGTTAACTTGAGGGCAGGACAAAGGGAGGATAGATGCAGAAGCTGCATTCTTGGCAAATGGGGATATTAAACTGACTGATCTCATCTTGCTGCACACACATGGCTGAAAAACACTGTAGGATTTGTCTTCGGTTTGGGTTGTTTGGGTTGTTTTTCTTCCATTAAGTGCTTCATGACAGCCTATTCTGTTAGCCAAGGGACAGAAGGAACTGCAGCAAGATTGATGCTCCCTGCTAAATAAGCTGAGCACGGCAGCAAGGCTGACTCCCACTTAACAGCTCCCTCTTGCTGCAATCGATGTAAATGAGAAGCCATATGCAGGTTAGGGCACAGCCCTGCCCAGGCAGCACATGGCAAGAGGAACAATAATGAGCAGATTCACTTCTTAAAAGCCTAGGTCAAAGCCTGTCAAAACCTACATGCAGATAGGTTGGTCCTTTCCAAGAAGGAAAAGTAATGATGCTGCATGAAAATCCTCATACTACTTAGGGGAAGAAGAAAGGCAAGATCTGGTCTCTCCTCTACTCCTTCTCCCCAGCCAGATGGGCATTTGGGGCTGCTGACCCCAACTTTCATGAAGTCAAAAAGCAGAACTGCCTCTTCCCAAGGCCTGTCTGAGGCCATTTCAATCTCCTTCCTTACCAGGAAGAGCATCATGATGACTCTAAGGCATTCGACTTTTCCCTCATTTAAAAGCAGTTTCACATGCAACCTCTCTTTCCACTAAAAACATGGTATTAATATAATCCTGTGGGCTTTCTCCCAGATGGACAAAATACAACAGGGAATCTCAAGCAAACTAAAACCTTTTCTTGATGTAACAGAGGGAAATGCAGACTTCAAAGGCAGCAAAACCAAACTGAAGCCCAATTTTCAATTTTAGGAAACCGTGGGTGTCTACTATTACTGGAAATCCAGCTCCCTTAGCTGGAGACCTGAGACACCTCCCACCTCATACTTCTCACCAAAAGGCTTATGAACCACACATTGGTTTACATCCAAAGCTTCCCCAGTGAAGGCCAGAGCTCCTGCTTGAGTCACTGACAGAGCTTGGTACCCAGACTGGAAATCAGCGTGACGAATGTGGAGCCATTGGAATAGCAGAGGAGGAACTGGGATTTATGGAAACATTCAGACCAGTGCAGCTATTCCAGCACAAACAGCTTGCTAGCATCACTCAGCTCACCTTTCAGTGTATAATGACTACAAACACATTAGCCCCAGTCAGCAAAGGCACAGATGGAGGAGAATAAGGGTGAACAGACTAAGCCTTAGTGACAGTTACACTTTGCCACTCGTAGAATCATGCCCATGCATGAAACACACATCATTTCACTTGAAAAGCCAGCATTTGTTGCAAAGTTTGCCCTGATCTCCTCTGAGCAACTAAATCAAAGACAAAAATCGAGGCCACTGAAGTCTCCTCTCCAGCCTTCGCCGTGACAGCACAGCATCACAGATCTAGAGTCTCATTTCTTTTTAAAGGCTTCAGAAACAAAGCCCTGTGCTAAGAGCCAGGAACAAAGGGTGCTCTTTAGTGCCTCACACCCCAGGCCTGTCATTAAGGGGAAGATTAAACTTTCCCAAGCCTGCTCCATCACGTGTCACCTACTGCAGCAGATGTGGCTGACAGCGCCTTTGTCTAACATGTCCCAAGTCCTGTGACCCATGGGGATGATTCCTGCAGCCCAGCTCTTCAAAACCCCAGCTCTGCCCAATCTTTTCTCTGAGATTTTAAGTGTTAACTTAAAACCTAAACCCTTACATGCATGAAGGTCAGGCCCACCTCAGACAGCTCCCCTTGCACCAGCACTGGAACTAGAAAGCTCAGAGATCAGAAGACAGGGAGCCTCCCTAAGCAGCACAAGCATTTGTGCAGATCCCAAGCTAGCAAGCAGAATTAGTGACTGTGGCTGTGCTGTTTTGGGTCCCACATCCCTACATCTGCACAGCACTGCACAACAGGGACTTGCAGACTCAAGTCTCTGCTAGTTCAGAGTTTTGCACAAGGTTGCCTTGGATCTCATGGATACACCCCACAGAAATTCATCAGCCAGGACAAAAAGCCCAAATCACAGTATTAAAGGAAACAACTGAAATAGGAATTTTACCATGAAAGGACTTTGTAAATGTCTTCTGTGGCTTGGTTCTCTGCATTCTGTTATATTGGACCACTGGCCCCATTGGGCAGCTCTTGTCAACTGACCTATTTCACACACAGTGAAAACCCAGACTGAATGTAAATAGTTGCTGGAAAAGGTGCCCACCTTTCATATCGGAGAAAAACGTTATTTAAATCATCATTCACATGCAGCAGCTCCTCTGTGACTTCTTCATTGGACACTCGTGAGATAAGCTCCACAATTCTCTGCTGCATCGCTCTACAGGTCCGGTTCAGCTCCTAGGAGCAACGCATTGTGCACACACATTCTGATTAACAGCTAGCAATAAGCTGTGTTCACAGCCAAACATGTCCCCCAGCTGAGAAACACTGAGACAAGTTTATCTTTGCATGATTAAATGTCACCCAAAAGCACATCTAATCAAACACCCTTCAAGAGCCGATGGCATAAAACCTTGAGAGCCTATTTACAATTCAACATCCTGATTCTTCTTGAACTCTGAGCACTTCAGGAAATAAATATCTGTATTTTAGTGATGGGGTTTAAGAATAAAACATGTTAATACAACAGCTTTCCAGAAGAGAGCTTTCAAGGAAAATTCAATCTGCGTTTTTTTTTGGCAATAGCATCCTTAGAAACTGAAAGATGGACAAGTAGGGAAAGTCACTTGTAGTAGCCCTGAGTGTTGGGGCCAGAGAACCTACCAACTGCTGAGAACATGAGGGTGAACACAAAGCAAGGAGCAGGAGCATGAAAAGATGAGGCCTCCGCACACACTTCATTGCTGAACTACACACAGAAACGTTCCCTTCAACTGAGCAAGTCCCCAGAGAAGAGACTGTAAAGGGGCAGTGGGGAGTTTCAGAAGAAAATGTTAAAGGATCTATAGCAAGGGTGTTTATTTCAGAAGTCTCTCATGCCAAGAAATGTAGATTTGAGTTTGCCTAAACCATGAGTTCTCCTGCTTCCAGGACACCTCTTCCACCACAAATCACAGAATCATAGAATAGTTCGGGCTGGAAAGGACCTTCAGATCATCCAGTTCCAACCCCCCTGCCATGGGCAGGGACACCTCACGCTAAACCATGGCACCCAAGGCTCTGTCCAACCTGGCCTTGAACACCGCCAGGGATGGAGCATTCACAGCTTCCCTGCGCAACCCATTCCAGTGCCTCAACAGCCTTACAGTAAAGAACTTCCTCCTTACATCCAATCTAAACTTCCCCTGTTTAAGTTTTAACCCCTTACCCCTTGTCCTGTCACTACAGTCCCTGATGAAGAGTCCCTCCCCAGCATCCTTGTAGCCCCCTTCAGATACTGGAAGGCTGCTCTGAGGTCTCCACGCAGCCTTCTCTTCTCCAGGCTGAACAGCCCCAACTTTCTCAGCCTGTCTTCATACAGGAGGTGCTCCAGTCCCCTGATCGTCCTCGTGGCCTCCTCTGGACTTGTTCCAACAGTTCCATGTCCTTTTTATGTTGAGGACACCAGAACTGCACACAATGCTCCAGGTGAGGTCTCACAAGAGCAGAGTAGAGGGGCAGGAGCACTCAGCAGAATTCTTTACTCCTGAAAGTCCTCAAGACCAAAGATCAAAACTGGTCTGTTGAGGAGGAACTACAAGAAGGAACGCGCCATATGGCACAGCACCACTGATTAGGCCCACGGTTTTACTTCAATAAGCACTGACATTCCAACTGAAGCATGTCCCTCTGTCACCTTCTACCCCCTCCCAGCCTCTCTTCACAGCACAAACGCAGCCCTAACCAAGGCTGACTTGTTGGTACACAACCTTGGGGATGAAAGCAAAAACGTGTTTGTTTTCCTTCCTTGGTCTGACATCCTAAGCTCTGGATAAATTTCACCTAGTGCAATCCAGCTGCCTTAACAGCTTGAGGAATGTGTTCTCCAATGTCAGTTTTGATCCCATCACTTGGCGAAGCAGATTGTGACATTTCAGAGGTTTGTTTGCTGCCTTTCCGAGTGGGCTGATGGTACCTATCTATTCTGCTCAGAGCTGGCTCTCCAGCAAGCTGTTTACATTTGATTGTAGGAGAAAATGTCAGGAATTATTTAAGGAGGAGAGGGCTATATAAACCTCAAAGCAAGGACTCCTCGCTTGCAGCACCCGGCTTATGGCTTTCAAAAGACTAACCAGCCTTTGGTAGCAAAACCAGGTCCTCCCCAGCTCTGTGATTCAGATTTAGAACGATTTCAGTCAAAGGAGGGAAGCAGTTGGAATAAAGAATCCTTGCTGTCACCCCGTTTTATGATCAAGGTCTTTCACCTTAAAGCTATGCTGTAAGGTTACGCTGTCAAGATGTTAGGAGCTGTTCCTGAATGTAAGCAAACTGTTCTGTGCTGCTGTCTGTCATGGTTTCCTGGAAGCTTCTTTTGTTTTGAGCAGCCCAACCCAAATGGGCAGTAACTGAAAGGCTCTTTATTGCAAAGCCTCTCATCAGCTGCCATCATGGCTCTAAGACATACACACAATGCCGCTGCATGGGAGAGACCAGTTTTTGGATGGAGTTCAAACACTGATGTATCGCAGAGAGCAATTCCCTGCCTTCCTCCAAATGTACTGCTGTGGGAGCCCATCCTCCCTGCCGGAGGCTCAAAACAGAAGCCTATTTCTGAAGCTATGGAAAAGCAAATACCATGGTAAGGGCAGCAGCTGGAATGCTAGCTCGCAGTATTCCTCATCTGTGTTGCACGTGGTACCGCATTACTTTCCTCAGCCAAAAGACCATCCCACTACCACTGGCGTAGGGAAACATGTATAAAGCCTGAGACATGAGCTCAGTTTATACTGTTTTTCCTCCTGAGATGCTAAATGCTGCACTGGATTGAGCCTTTTCACTGAAGAAATCCATCTGATTCCCCAGCCGACCCTTTGGACAGCATGAAGCTTCATCCAAACACGTGTCTTAAGACACTACCTTCAGGAGAAGCTGCAGCACATCTTCTGGAAAGGCACTTAGTTCATATGTAAGACTTCAAGTGGCAGAGAATCCACAGACCCTTGGGTAATGTTTAGTCCAGCTGGAAACACGGAGTGTCTTTTTCCTGCATAGTGACTTGGAATGTTTTGACACTGTGAGTGATGATAGAAGATGTAAGAGAAGTAGAAATGTTCAGGGCTTCCAGGGCTTAGGGTAATTCTAAGCTGTTTTCTGGTAAAGGAGACCTGATATTCAACACTGGGAAGGATTTCTAGCTACACAAAGAAAGCCCTGGACCAAATTCCAAGGGTAGTTAGGAAATCCTTGTCACCGGAAGCTTTAACAAATGAAGAACATCAAGTGATGAGTCTAAGCAGAGTCAAGCACAGCCCACATTCATTATGTGAACCAGGCAAACCAAGGCAGTGAAGTAAACTGCAATAGAAAACACACCCCAAATCAAACACAGAAAGATCAGGATCATATTTCCTAGGAAACTCTTACCTGGAGTAACTCAAGGTCTGAGGAATCCTCTTGCCCAGGTACCATCTCTGTCAGCATTTCAGACATCACTTTTGTGTTCCCACGGACGATATCCAGCTCGCTGCGCAGCCGGGCAATCTGAATTGGAGTAAAAAGACAGCAAAACACTGGTTTAATCATTTGGTTTAAGCAGATCACCCTCATTAACTGACTTTGGGATACCTCTGACTCCATATCTGAGGCTCCAGACATTATAGCTGGGGAAAAACTGTAAAGATGAGAAGTTTACCCAGAGGAGAGTTACAGAAATGCAACAGAAAACAAAGATAACTTTGTCGAGCTACTCATTGTCATTACAGCCCCAGATGTGCTATGTTTGTAAGGAAGGGAAGCAACAGAAATCAGCTAAAACCAGACCCTGTTTGTAGTACTTCATTCAGGTAGGGGGAAAGATACGCAACTTTGAGCAGGATCTTGGGCTCTGAAGTTATTTTTGCGGAGGGAAAAGGAAATCCTATATCAGGGAATTTGCAAGGGTCTTATGGATGCAGACTTAACTCCCATTAGACTTCCTGCCTCTGCAAGACATTCTGTGCCTTTAAAGGAGAGGGGGATAAGAAGAATAACTGCTAACCTACAGCACAACTGCTGAGTGGAGTGGTATATCAGACTGGGAGGTTTTGTAACTGCTGCCATTAGCCACACATCCCAACTGAAAGCCTAGATTTCACAGTATAAAAGGAGGAAAGTTTACTAAGTAGAACCCAAACTAGGAGGCAATCAAAGTCAAAAGAGTTAAAATGAAGGTTCCTCTGCAGACTGGTTTCTAATTTGATCTGCTGAGAGTCTCACTCAAAAGAATCATCATCCCGATACCTGTTCGGAATTAGCAGTGATGGGACCAGTCACATTCAACGCTGGGGCCTGAGGAGAATACGCTGTCGGAGAAGATGACGAATAAGAACTGGTGCTCATCCTTTGCTGAGGCTGGGAATTGTGCATATTTGCTGCAGGATCAACTTCAGGGACACTCTGCCACATCAGAAAGACAGGAGTTCAAAAGCTGAATTGTGACAGCACTTGCTTTGTCAGCAACCTCAGGCCAACTATGCTCAAATATAGAACATAATTGCACCTTGTGGAAAAGGTCAGTAGAGCTTCAAGAAGAGACTGGAAGGCCAGCCCATAAACAGGCAGTTGCAACAAACCCCCGTGCCTGTACTTTTTCAACCCAACCCACCTGGATTTAAGTCAATTCAGCTTTACAAGTGAGAAGCAAAATAGAAACAAGAGCCAAAGAGAAATAATTACAAATCATTTTAAACCCGGAGTTGCTTATAAAACATGATGTGTAGACAGTGACTGTAATTAATCTTGACACAAGAATTGTAATCTTTCAGTCCTTGATCACTTGCATTTACCACTTCAAAGATTCATTAACTTCAGCTTTCGGAGTGACTAATCAGAACACCTGTGATCATTAAGTTACTTCCTAACAGCACTCCTGTTAACTTTCCAGACCCAACTTTTCAGAGTGCAAAGATCTCACATTACCATAGGATCAGGGAGATATTCTGAATCTGTACATCTTTAGAAGCCGGGCTGGCCTCGGTTGAGGGTTATCACCAGGAGAAACAACCATATTTTGGAGCAAAAGAAGGAAAACCACAACCATACATCCCGCTGGAATCTCTCTGAGCAAATTAGCTGCATTTGTCTGGTGGTTTTGTGGTACAAAAGAGATGTACAAACCTCTCCAAACCCTTTTCTCATCTCAGACCGATGTTTGACTCAAGGGAGGAGATACCATTAGCTCATCAGCCTGTCAAACGCAGCTGTATTATGCTTCTCCTGCATAACCTTTGACTATTGAAAGAGTCCTTTCAGGAGTGAGTAAATGAGCCAAATTTGGCAAAACAGGAAGGGAAAGAAGAGAAATTTTCCAATTATTTAGACATTTTGGGAAAATACCCCTGGCATTGCAAAGCTGCAGCTTACCCTCTGTGGTGTGTGTATTGGAGACAGAGCATCAAGATCTGCCATGGGAAACTCGATGCCTTTCCTCTTGAGCTCTTCATAAATATGCACTACTCCAGTTAAATCAGGGCTACTTCGAAAGGCATCAGCCCAAGCCTGGAAAACAGGAGGGATTATCCATAAACCTTCCAAACAAAGTTCCAGCTCCACCCTGACCTCAGATACTGACTATAAAAGCTTTCATGTATTTCAGCTTCAAAGGGAAGCTGTAACCATTAGATCTGGTCTAAAAGATCCTGCAAATATTAAGACAGTCACGTACACATTTCATTCAAACATAAATAGGAACCCAGTGGCTATGTCTAGCCCCTGACATCATCAGAATCTGTAAATGCAAATGAAAGCCTCTTCCAATCTCCTCTGCTGTGTGACTGCACGCTGACCTTTTCTTGCATCTTCTATGGCCAATGACTCACCAGGAACAGTCTGATGTGAACGATTAAATAGATCTAAGCAGAATTCATAACATTATCCAATAATCTGAGGTCAATACTCACCTTATGGAACATCCTCATTTGGTGTGAAATGCAAATCAGAGCTGTCAAGTTTTCTTCAGTATTTCAGCTGGACCAAATTTAGATTCAAAAAGGTAGTTTGAGGTTCTTATAATGTGAAACATAGAGTCTCATGAGAGATAACGAAGCCTGGTTTCTTACAGAGCATAGCCAACACTCAGACACCCCAGTGTGTCAGAAAGAACAGGTTTAAAGCAGAGTCGTATCATCTCTCCTGCATGAATTCTCTGGTGTCTAAAGAGACTTGGATTGACATTGGAGCTTTTCCTTCAGTGGGAGTACTAAGTGCTCCTCTTCCCTAGCCAGCCTCCCATACTCACAGAGCAGCTAGGAGCATGATACCTTGAAAGCCTCTCCCCCCTTTCACTTGAGCTGGAAATTAGCCAGGTATTACAAATGGAGAGGAAGGAAAAATTGCAATATTATGACTCAACTCAAAACGAAGCAGTCCACAAACCCCCACATATGTGAGGCAGAGTATCAGTTCTGGATCCAGAACTGCTGCGAGACGCGTGTGTGGGCTCTGAACTTAATTCATTTAGTCATCGCTTTTGCACCAGTTCTTTGGACTATTTTTACTTTAAAAGCTGTATTTAACCACTTTTTCTATTTAGGAGGAGAGAAATCAAAGATAGCAAGGCAAGGAAAGAAATAATATTAATATCTAGGAATAGGAATTCTAGTCCAATCCAGTTCAATTCTAAGAAAGAGTATTTCCTACTCTATGTGCCTAGGAGACAATCCATTATCAGTCGCAAGCTAATAATTCTGGGTTTGCTTCTCAGCTTTGTTAAGGGTAAATTAAGTGCATCAAGTGTTCTGCTGCAGTGCATGTCCAAACAGCACTACTTGAGCCAGAGAAAACAGCAGTGACTGCAAAGAGCCATTCTGTTTCCTTGGAGCTGACCTTCCAAGCCATCCCTAATTCTGATGGAGATATTGACTGCAAGAGTAACTCTACCCTGGCACTCTCTCTGCATTTTCAATTTACATAAGAAGTCATCTGAGTGATGCTTCTACATAATGCGTCCCCCACTTCAACTCTATTTGCAAGTAAGAGGGAAAAATGTTAGGCAAGGGATGCTTTAGTCAGTAATCATTCACATGAAACTTAGAGTCGAGAGTACACTGGGTTGCTGCACCCTACTTTTAATGAGCTTTGTTTGTCCAGGAGGATGCACTGATGTGTCCTCTCTTTCCCTGCCTTCCTATAGATTTCATTGCAGGCACAAATGACAGTGAACTCGCTTCATTTGCACTCTACCTGTTTAATGTATTCTCTCTCCTGCAGCTCTCTTCCCTGGAGAAAGGAGACACTGTCATTTGTATTCTTCCTCGCCTGCACTGGGAGCATTATCTACTTTAGGGTGTCTCTCAGAGGTCACGAGCAGGTCTGGGCACTATTGTCCTAAGTGCTGTCTACACACATTGTAAGACAATCCCTGTCCTAGACAGCTTATAATTCAACCAGGCAACAGTAATATTAGCTTTAGTTTGCAGATAAGGAGCTACACACAGAGCTTAGGAGACTTCCCATTGTCCAAACACGCATATGACGGAGATAAGATTGAATTCAGACCTTCTAAGACTTTAGGCCAGACTATCAGGGGTAGATATTTAAGGATGCGGCTGTATAAATCTCACTTGGCACGTCAGTGTGCCAAAACAAGTTCAATAAATACCACTGCAAATCTGACCCTCAAATCACTGACCATCCCAAGGCAAAAGGTGTTTGGTTTGACACTGGAAAAATTAACACAGGTACCCTCAAAAGTCTCCCCACATTTCATCTTTGATGACAGTGCTCAGCTACAGGCAGTAAGGTGGAACTCTGAGGTGATACTCAAGTTCTTAACAGAGGTACAGCAATAAGGAATCTATCCAAGGCCTTTTAGCAAGGTGAAGAAGGCTGAATAAGCAGCATCTAATACATGCTAATTCATGTACATTGGCAAATGGGTTGAGAAAGTGAAACACAAGATGGTCAACATCTCAAAACAGTCAGGTCTCTAGATGAGGAATTGGATGACAGTTTATCTACCCTTGCTATGGAAAGGCCCAGGAACACAAGAGCTGCATGGCTGGAGACACGCTGTTTGTACAAGTGCGTGCTGTGGATCCGCTCATTTCTGTTCTTATTAATTCCCTGATATCAAATTGTAAAAGAAGGGGATAAACATTATGTCAGGGGAGCAGAGCAGAGAGGAGATCAGGCCCCTGAAACGGGGCTGGAGCTCTGAGGAGCAAAGTCTGAGCTAAGGGTATTTTGGGGGTGTGCGTCCACAGGGCACCCGGGATGAGTGACTGCAATCACTTTTCCTAACTTGTCAGGCAATCTGGAAAACAAAGTCCCACCACCTCCAGTTAGAGACACTAACAGAACCCATCCACAGGCAGCTTCCATCATTCACAGGCTTGTTATACCAAAAGCTATTTAGTGCCCATAGTGAGGCTTTTAGCTCTACTGCACTGAGTCTACACAGATAAAGCCCTGTTTAACACACAGACAATAACTGGGGCTTTTTGGTAATGTTACAAACACTTGAATCTCAGTCACATTGATGACTGGGAACCCACTTAAATCCAGGATGCAGCATAACCAGCATTCTTTAAAACACTAACAGAGCAAACAGCAGGGAAACATGTGCAGTTCCTCTTTATGGGGCAGGATTTAACCTCATCTCCTGGTCACTGCATGCATCAGCTCCCCCACTAAAACAGGCAGACACCCAAGGGCTCAGTAAGATGCACAAGAATTGCTTTTAATGATCATTAATTTTGTGCCATTTCTTTAGAAAGCCTTGAGATGAGAGACCAGAAATAAAAGGACAAACAGACCCCAATGCAACACCCACCTAATTCTGCCTCTCAGCCTATTTCCTGCTTGGAAATCACTTATTTACATTGTCATGCTCCAACGATGCCCTATCTGGGTATCCAAATAACAAATAACCCAGCAGAAATTCAACTGCATGCTTTGCCACAAAAATCAGAAGTACATTGGAAAAACTATGCTGTGCATTTGTGAATACCTTCCCACAAGAAACACTGCAGCAGGTTTATATCATTTTAAATACACAGCATCTTTTAGTCCCTGGTGTATGCAATAGTCTGTAGAAGCTTAGTGATAAAGCTTCCTATAATTGTCAGATTTCCTCCAGGCAGGCACCAATGTTCCCTCATGTGTTGCTAATGGGTTGTGGAATTAACATGGCTGTTTATTGTTATGCTGCACAGAAGGAGAAGTGGCAGACAGGCCTCTGTCTGAACTTCCCCACTGCAGGCAAGGATCTGACAGTGCACTTTCACTGCACAATAACCAGAGAAAAGACAGCAGAACCCATTTTAACTCCTATATGGTCATTTACTTTTCTATAACCATCATGAAAAGGGATTCAGAATGCTTTCTAATGGAGGGAAACGACTCCATTTTACGCTCAGGGGAACACACACAGAAAGGTTCCACAACTGACAGCAAAAACACAATCCTCTAAGATTTCCCAGCCTTAAGAGGACATGAAGCAAGCCTCCATCGTCTAGATGCGACTGTTAAGTTGCCAATCTCTCCATTTACCTTTTATGAACTCCTCTCGCTTTAGAGTTCTCTAATCAGAACCAAGACACTCCTCCCTCAATGAGGGATCTATGTATGTGCGCTTCTGCCCTTCCCTGCCAATCTGGATATATTGTCTTTACATATAAAGACCTTGCCACATTTCTAATGATGACAGCAAGCAGACAGTCCTTATTTCAGGCAGCAATGTATGGGAGCTGTGTACCTGAATCAGGGCTAATACTTTATCCTGGACAATAGTGGGGGGGTTATTCTTGGGCGAGATGATCTTCACCAGAACACCATCGATGAAGTCGCGGTTTGCCACCAAGACATGAAAGCGATGGCCGCAGTTCTTCACACAGGTCTCCAACACCTACGAACACAGAGGAAAAACATTCATTGTTGGTGCAAAGCTTGATCACACACACAGCAACTATGTGCTTGGTTTCTGATTTTGGGGGGTTTTCCCCCTTTTTAAAGCTTTTGAAGGGAGCTAAAGAAGATAGAGGAGAAATTATACTTATAGGCATAATTCTTCTCCAGTTCTACCAGAAAGCTTCCTCTTTACACACACATTCAGATGTACTTCACTCCCCATTAACATATTGGCCACTTCTGTGATCTACCTTCTTTTCAAGGCAAAGAAACATAAAGCTTCTTCCTCTTCAAAGCAGAACTTCTCAACCTGCACAGCTGTGCAGCTAAGTACACAGCATCACATCAAGAGCAGGTAAGACGGAGGACATCCTGTCACAGTGAGATATCACCGTGCTGTGGCACTTCACCACTGTCTATGTAGCCAGAACACAGCTGGGCCCAGTTGCTCTGAGCTATAAGCCATGTTTTAGAGGTGGGAATTCAGGTGAATGATCTTCACTCATTCAAAACACTCCCTTGTGAATGCTCTGACAGGTTAGACTTTGACACATTTTCCCCCTGCAACCTAGCTTTAGGCACCTTCCACTTGCCATTCAACTGCCATGGAAGAACAGCTGTTGGTTTTTCCTCTGAAGAACATGATTAGCATGGAGATAAATCCAATGCGTCACTTCTTACAGCCATGCCTAATAACCACTGCGACTCTGTAGCTGAGGAGGCTGTAATTACTCCCCTACTTCAGCTACTTTCATCAGCCATGATGACACGCACTCGTTCCTGATGAATTTCCCTCTTCCCTGCACAATGGATAAGCTCATGGCTTGGGCTTTGGTAATCTGTCAAAATGACAATCCAGGAGAGGAAAGGGCAAGAAGACTGAAAGTACAGCTATGCTTTGTCAGGGAGACGTAACAAGAGCTCTGTGATAGAATCACACAGGTCCCCTACCCACAGCAGCGTTAACTCCATGTAGTTACTGCTGCAGCAGAGCCTGCCCAGCAGTGCGCATTCAGGAGTGCCGTGCTGCTCAGCAACCCCCTGGCAAAAGCCATCAGCAGGAAAGGTCACTGGCAAAATACCTCACACCTTCCCAGCGCTGCCTAAATGCTCAGAATGTAATTTACACTTTATTGAGTGAAATTAGATCAGCAGAAATGAGTGTGAGGCTCCTACAGGGATCCATTCACAAGGGAAATTGTGCATCAGCTCCTTATGAAGCTGAAAATCTGGTGAGTTCATCATTCTCACTTGCGGATATGCCTGTAGCTGTTGGAGTGGAGAAACAGCTGGACACAGGGTGACGAGAGGAGAAGGGGAAGCCCCAAAGGGTACACAGACCCATTTGGGCTACTTTAACTTTCCTCAGTCAGTACTTGGGATGAGTAAGAGCCCTGAAAAAACCCAGGAATCAATTGAGTCAGAAAAACGCTATGCAAAGCTGCCAGGAACAGTCCCCAAGGAGGAGAGGAAGCAATTGGAGAGAAGAAAAGGGCAGAGCAGTGGCTGTTAAAGCAAATAGTGTGTATATTGAAGAGGTTGCCAGGGAAAGCAAAAGGACAAAAGAGAAGGGTTCTGCCCTTTCGAGGCATTCCAGCCTGCCCCCACTCACCGTCAGCGCCAGCATGACCTCTCTGTAGTTCTTGTTTCCATTCAGCCTCTTCTTCAGCGCTCGAATGGCATCCTTGGGGCTGAAGGAGGAACACACCAGCTCAGGCATGCTTTTCACATGGCATATATTGTGGGGAAAGGAATCCTTTCCCATTTCCAGCTGCACATAAGCATAGCTGTTAACTTCAGATTGCTTAACTACCAACTAGGGTCATGTAGAAGAGAAGATATCACAGAAGTCACAACCAAAGCAACATCTGAGGCCTCCAAAAAGGCAGGATGCTGATCAAGCAGGAAAGACTGTCAGCTACTCAAAGGTCTAGGGTGGAAGACCAGTGACCAGTTCTGCAAGGAGCACAGCTTTGCTGGTGCTGAGGGAAGAGTATCAGCAAAGGTCTCCATGCAAATGTCTGGAATTAACAGCGCTGCAAAGAGATACAGCTACTGAAAACAAGAACCCCAAAAGCATAATAAGCTCAGAACTCTCTCTAACAATGTGTTTTTCCTGCCAAGCAAAGGCTGACCACAAAGTGCTGCATCATACAGCAGCTTTCTGAAACGGCTAAGGAGAACCAAGCAATCCATGCAACCACATTCATCATAGAATGGTTTGGGCTGGAAGGGACCTAAAAGCTCATGCAGTTCCAGCCCCTTGCCACAGACAGGGACACCTTCCACTAGACCAGGTTGCTCACACTATGAGCATCTGCCCCCAGACTCACTCCTCCCATGCTGAGTGCAACTGGATGAAGATCACGGTCATGAATCTTTCAAAGCTTGCTGAAGCAGCACATACCCTTCTTCTGTCTCATTGATAATGTCACAGATCTCCATGTTCAGTGTCCAGTCTTCGCTCTGCAGAGACCCATCTGTGGCCTTTTCTGTAAAGTAAAGAAAAAAATCAATCTTTTTTGTCTTCCTCATTAGACTTCAATCTATCTTCAGTTACCCTGAGCTCAAACTACCCAGTAGAAGAAAGACAGGGGCAAAAAAGAAGTCCCCAGTGACAGTAAGCAATGTCAAACCTTCCCTCCTGGTTTTAGGGATCAGCACAGAGGTTTCCAGAGAGAATCCATTATCCCCCGAGCTCACTACCTTCAGCCCACATAGATGGGCTGTTCTTCAAAGACTCCTGAATTCCTGGGAGAGTAGGCAAATGTCAGCTAATTCCAACTTAAACTCCTCAAATGCTGCACTGCAGGCAAGTTATGAGGCAGGAAAATCTCCCCCAAATCAACATGACCTCCCCTCTGGTTCAGTAGATAACACCTCCACATGAACTAAGCAAGGAAAGACAGCAACTTGGAGACAGAGTTCAAGCAAGTCCAGAATTCCAGTGTGAAAAGAATATTTAGCACATGAAATCATGGAGTAAGTGATAGTTCAACTCACGGTATCATTCCTGGGCACCCTCTTTTGGCCAGGAGCCTCCTACTCCTTCCTGTACGTGGTGCCTCAGTACCTGCTTGCCAGGGAGCTGGGCACTGCTCCCCCACTCGCTCCACACTGTTTCCCCTGTTTCCTCTCCATGTTAGGCCTCTCAAGCACAATCTGCCTTCCTCCTGACTCCCAAATGCTCCCTCACTCTCTGCATGGCAGCTAAGTCACTTCAGCATCAGCCTAAATGCAAGGGGAAGGATGACCTACAGCACTGTGACAGTGGCAGATGCCAACTGTTTGGCAGTGTAATTTATAGACGCCTGCAAGAGTAGCATAACCATAACTTCAAGTAATCCGTTGACAAGAACTATTTCCTCCTTGGGATTTCCTCCTAAATCAATATAGTTCTGCCTTGTGGTGCCTGCAACAGCCCCTGAAGTTTTCACACTCCTCTCTTGCAGCATTCAAACCCTATCTGCATTACACTCAGAAATGCTATCAAGTTGAACATAAACCCTGTCACCAGGGAGACCTACAAAGGGGACCTTTGAGCTGAACACGACCTTCTCCTCTACATTACTCTGGGTCTGTCTGCATGCCATGGCAGAAGGCAAACAGGGCAAACAAAAGCCATATTTAAGATGCGAAATAAAGCAAGGCGGAACAAAACATCAAGCTTTTATATGCCTAAGAGCAGAAACAAACCCATCTTCTCCATTTATCCTTCTGTCTCCACATCAGCCCCCAAGCTGACCCCCAGAACAAGGCAAATCCTGTTTGAGAACATGAGGCTCCAAGGACTTCACACATCTCTCTCTGTTTACTAAGGATGCTTTTCCCATTAACATTTCTAGCACTGCGACTGAGGATACAGATGCCCACAGGCCATAATTACAGGACATTAGTGGAGAAAGACTCTTGTGTCTGGGTAATTCAAGTTTCAGTGACTTGCCTACACTGCAATAGTGGCTAAATCAACTCCACCAAGGACAGTAACTACAGGAGACTAAGACAAACCCAGAGAGCTATGCAAAACCCAAGCAGAGGGTGCTGAACAGAAGCCATCTAGCTCCAGAAGGGAGAGGATACCATGGAAAAGGAGATTATAGACCAGGAGATCATTCTTGGCAGGTTCACTTCCCATTCAGAGGCAGGGCTGCAGGGCAACGCAGATCACTGCCCAGGGTCTCACCCACAGGGGAGCAAACAGAGGGTGCAGAATTCCCAGTTCCAGGTCTTTTTCAGCCATCACCACCCATGGGAGAGTTCACTTTGACAACAACTCAGAGGAGGAGCCTCAGAGATGCATGACTTCCAAAATGTCCCAATAAATCCTGGACAGGTTATTGAGTACTCTGAATTTACCTAAATGGGTTATGCTAGGCAGGGATTCTCTTAAGGAAGAGTGCAGGCAGAGCTGTTTCATGCTTTCTGGGATACAGGAATTCATCATTCATCCAGGAATTCATCTGTTCCAGTATTTAAAGGGTGGCTACAAAGATGACCAAGACTCTCTCCTTCCCAGGAGTCACAAGGAAAAGACAAGGGGCAATGGGTACAAGTTACTGCTGGGGAGATTCCAACTGGACACAAGAGGAAAATACTTCCCAATGAGAACAACCAGCCACTGGGATAACTTCCCTAGGGAAGTGGCAGATTCCCCTATGCTGGATGCTGTTAAGATTCACATGGACAGGGTAACACACTAGTCTGGGTCATGCTTTGCCTAGAAAGGTTGGACCAGATGATCCTTGAGGTCCCTTCCATCCTCTTGTGCTGTGATTCTACGACACATCTTTGTGCACAGCTACTTGTAACAATCACTTTTACTAGTTGCATTTTGTTCTTATACTCTACATAAGACTATTTTATATGTGATCTGCCTTCATGTGCATACAGTACCTGCTCCTTAGGAAAACATTTTACTTACCATTAGGGAAAAAACCTTTAATACCCAGAGATACGAAAGAAAAATCCCTACATCTGCTGAGAAAGGTGAGCCCCAAAGGATTTAGTGCTGCAAAATGAGAGATTACACCTTAAATATAGAGTATTCCTTTAGCTGGTCCTATGATTTCTTTTCTTAATCTAGAACTATATTAATGAATTTGTGTGCTCTCGACAGCATCAGGCAGCAGCTTTGCACTGCTCATACTCTGCTCTAAATGGTTGTGGAAAGTGCTGCTGCTGCACAAAGCTCACAGCCCATTCATTCACTGCTCTGCTAAAACCCATGCAGTGAAGGGTCATTTTGGCTATATGGCAGCACTCCACAGCTAAAAACAGTGGTGGTTTGGAGATGGAGCGCAGGGATGCTGCTGCAGTGCTGTGCAGAGGTAGCACAGCAATGCTCCTCAGGGGGCCCTGATAACCTCATTATATTTCCCTTCTGAGATGCACTAAGGCAAACCAAATCCCCTTTTCCCAGAGAGACAGGTTATCACCTTTTTGTTTCTGTTCTTCAGCTGGAGTAATGCATGGTTGAATCTGGTATAACCCAGATTTGCCACTGCAGAGCTCTCTCTGCTGTTACAAAGGAGTTAACTCACTGCAGAGAAGGCACATGAGGTGGTGTGTGACTGGGTTGAAGAACAGGATTACCCTGCAATAAACTGAGAGCCTGGAGAACTCTTGTACAACCAAAGGCAGCAGGTGGCAGTTCTGGATTTCTGGTGGAACAGCTCTGCCTGCACTCATCTGTAAGAGAATCCCTGCCTCACATATCCAAAAAGCAGGAAATTAAACACACTCAACAACCTGTCCAGGATTTAATGGCTTCTTTGGAAGCCATGCATCTCTTTGATGCAAAATAGATGTGATTGTCACATCTATGGCTGCCCCATCCCTGGCAGTGTTCAAGGCCAGGTTGGACACAGGGACTTGGAGCAACCTGCGCTAGTGGAAGGTGTCCCTGCCTGTGGCAGGGGTTGGAACTGGATGAGCTTTAAGGTCCCTTCCAACCCAAACCATTCTGTGATTCTATTATTCTATGCTTTTATGAATAAGATTAAACAGATTTTGGAAGCTATCACAATGCAAAGGAATGGCATGCAAATCAGGCCAATACCCTTTTAAAAGTCCCCAGTTCCTCAATCTCATTAAAAGGCATCTAAATAGCTCTGGTTCACAGCAAGGTTCTGGATCACTACCAAAGGATTCCAGGGTGACATGAGAAATGTGAAATCAGACAAGGAAGAAGGCAATGAGCAGGAGTCCCTCCTGCCCCTCCCTCGCTGAACTAAAGTGTTTATGGCATGGTTTAATTGCCCAACAAAAGGGTTGGCACCTCCCAGCCTGGTGCCAAAGGCACCTTACACAGCTCCTGACCCAAGAGCAGCTCCTGGTGCTGTGTCAGTGCTGATTTAGCCCCTGCAGGAGTTGGCGTCTCACGCAGAGCCAGGATACCAGCAGCAAGATGGTCAGAAACAAGATGCTGTCGGTTCCCACCACATCTCCCAAATTAAAGCAGAAACGTGCTGGTAGAAAGAAAGACAATCTGGCACCCTGGGTCTGACACTTCACAGACCCTGGACACTGCATATGCACACACAAGCATTGGCTTATCTTTAGCCTGCAAAGAAAAGGAGGCAAAAAATGGTGCTGCTTTTCCACTTCACACCTTCCTTCTGAGATTTAACTCTTGGGGTTGCATTTCCATGCTCTGCCAAATGGAAGGATCAGTACTTCCCTGCTCACACTGAGGTCCTGCGCATTTGCAGGCATTCAGGGGTGTAGGGTTTGCGGTGTACACAGGCTCAGGGCACACACAAGCCCAGCCAAGCCTCTTGCTCTGACCCGAGAGATGTCGCCACACGAAAATCCAAGTCAGGAACGCCTGTGGAACCAGCAGGTAATAAACAGGCAGGGCAGGAATGCAGGAAGAAAACACAAGGACTTTTACCACCCATCCTGAGCCAGCTCAAAAGTCACCTAACAAAACAATGCTAAGACTGGTTGTCCTCAAGAAGTTAATTCTCAGTCCATACTCCTCACGCTTCTAAATAACAGCCCAATGCTGGTGACACCTACATACAGATATGATAAAGCAGAATTCCTCACTCTTCCCTACTTCCCCTTCCCAGCACTCATCTCTGACCATTACACTGAACCCACCAATGGAGACAGCCTCAAGACTTCACTGAGATGGGGACTGCACACATTGGACTGCGGATGCTCTTTAACTCACATGCCATATGTGCGGTGATGCAGCAGAGACCGAGGGCTGGAAGCACTGAGAACAGCTCCTGTGGCTGAATGATGATAGGAGGCACAACCAGGGTGGAAATGTCCCTAGAAAGGTCTATCTCTCAGTACCAGTGACTGTGGTGCTGGGTAATGTTCTTGGAAGAAAAGGAATCTGAATCTAAATCTAAATGCTGCACTAACAAGGAATCGCACTGAATGAAAGTGGGAGAACTGCACTGTTTTCTGCCTGAATCCCAGAACCTGGTGAATGAACAGATCTTTGTGCTCACAGAAAGCACAGTTTTCTCTTGGGGCT